CAAGGCCCCCAGCCCGGCTCACCTCGGGGCCCCACCCCCTGTACCCCAAAGCCTTCTCTCCTCCAGTTCCTTCCCAAGTGGGCTCAGTCCCCACTTTCTGAGCCGTGGTTTCCAGATCAGCGTCCTGCGGCCCCCATGCCCGCTCAAGCACAGGCAGAGCGCGTAGCTCAGGGCGCAGGAAAGCCTCTGTCCACATCGCAGAAGGATCCCTCACCCAGAGTGGTTTCTCCTTTGCTCGTTAAAGGCAGGGACTGAAAACCAATGCAATCTGAGCTTCCGTCCCCTTTCCATGGCTCAGCTGTGGTTCTAACTCCCTAGGCCCGCCTGGCAAGGTTCCCATCACACTCTGCCTCCTCTAGAATAAGTGGGTGGGAGAGGCTGCAAACTGCCAACTCCGGGAGGGTGATCCCCACCCCCCGTGGTCCCACCCCATCCCCAACCCCCAAGTGCTCCTCCTCAGGGGTCCCTCAGAAAGCCAGTCGACAGGGACAGAGGAGGGAGGTGACCCTTGCCCTCCCAGCATCAAGAGCAGCGAGACAAGGGAGGGACACCACTTACCCCTTCACCCAGGGTGGAGGGGACAGCTGGCCATCTGCAGGCGGCTGCGGGAGACCAGGGCAGCTAGAGCGCGGCACCCACGGGCAGCTTCGGCGGAGAGGGGCATCCCGGGGGCCGTGCAGCTGCAGACAGGGCACCTGTTCCTGAGCGGGACTCAGAGCACGGGGTACAGCAGGCAGGCCCACCTTCCAGTCCCCAACAGGGCTTCAGGCTTCTATTCAAGGGTCAAGGGTGCGGGAAGGGTGGCAGTGAACCTCTCAGGCCAGCGCCTGCCTGATTCTGGAGTTAGTCCGGCAGGAACCTGCAGGCCAACTTGGGGGGGGGGGGGTCCGTCCTCACAGTAGGTTAAGTGTGTCCCACGTGCACGGCTAGCAAGTCCAACCGATCTGAAGCAGGTACTCAACCCTGAACTTCCCAAGATAGTGACGCTCTCACAGAAAACGCCAGAAACCCTCAGGTGACTTGCTTCAGGTACACACACACTTCTCAGCCGAGAGGTTTCCTTTAGAGGTTTGATAGATTTTTGCAACCCTCTGCCTTTCCCGGAGGTGCTGATAGGACACAGCACATCCTCAAACTGCTTTTCACACATCTTGCCTTTCCTACACCCTACCCGTGCTCCGTTACTTATTCTGCTCGTGACAGGTCACCAGAAAGGACAAACGCTACCCAAAGGCACCAACGCTCCACACTGTGTGAACCCAAACTCTGCCTCACGGATTTTCCCGATAGACCATCCCGGGTCTGCATTAACTCAATAAAGGCACAGGAGGCTTTCAATGCAAGGCTCCCCCGTTAGGCCGCAGATTTCAATGGAGGGAGAAACATACCCCTCACACGACAGCGATCGTGCTAACTGCTCGGTCCTTCCCACAGAGAATACTATAGATAATTCAGCAAATCCAGACAAAAAGAAGCAATGTATTTTGCAGCAAATTTTTCTTTAAGACTTGTAAATTCTCTCCCACCCCATATTAAACAGGTAAGTGAAGCAGCTTCCAAATTTAACGGTTACAGTTCAGATTCTGAATATTCACATCACGCTGGCATTCCACGTGGGTCACAAACACATGTGCCTTGTGTTAAGGATCTGAATGAAGTTTCATCCCGATGATGAAGAATCTGATCACATTTGACTTAAGATCTGGTTTTGAACTAAGCAGTGTAGCACATACAGCAACTCAATCTATTGATAACATTTACTCGATATTGAATTTTCTTCGATTCTACCCTTTGGATCTCATTTTTCCATGTATTTAAGTGATCCCTATCTTTTTAGGTAGGAAAGTAATTGTCTAAGAGTAAGCGGACACCTAGACAACTTTGGTAAACTGAACTACAGCAGTCCTCACGTGAGCAAAAGAGCTTACTCAAGACTTAATTGCTACAGTATAGGCGAGGATGGGGCCAAACTCAAACAAGATAACACTCATTTCTAAATGTGGAAATCCTACAAAAATAAATGGCTTAAGCCAATGGAATTCTGCAATGCTTTCACGGTCACTGAGAAGCCATTCTAAGATCTACTTTCCTACTGTATTTGTGCCCCTGAACCGGCCACAGAAATCCTTTTGGAAAAACCGGGAAGGCTGTGGGGTGTCCAACGGGAATCCTTCATCTTGGGCATCGTTAAAGCTTGGGAATACTTGAAAGCAGCGGGTAAACACAGACCACCTTCCTAGAGACCAACTTTACATCAAACATGGAACATCGTGACAAAAAGCAAATAAATGCACAGCTTATACTCATTTTTAACAAACGAGACCTCTCAAGTTCCTGCCATCATTTGTATGGTTTCAGTGGACTTCGAGAGGCTCTACATTAGAACATGGTTACTTTTGCCACAAAGTAATAGCAACTGTAATTCTTAAAATACCTACTCGAAACGTCCTTTAATAAAACACGGACCACTTTTACTGAGAGATCACGTACGTCTCAAGCTCTTCCCTAAGTGACGCTACTTAGTCACGAGGCAGGGGGGGATGAACATTACTGTAGCTTAACCGCACCAACAGTATTCACACCCCATGACAACTTACCAAACAGAATACTAGGGACATCTGTCCTATCATTTGTGTGAAATGATTCAAACGTACGAAAAAAACAAAAGAATGGAACCTGGAAAACTTCAAACTAAGTGACGCTAACAACATAGCAATTTACACAGTAACATGGCACAATTTTCCCCGTTAGTGGTTTTTAAAATGCTTACCAATCAAGGGATGAGCTCACTTGCTTAGATATTTGAAATACAACTTTATTCTGATTCTAAACGAAAAGGAATGGGAAGGACAGTGACAATGAATTTCACCACTGGATACTGTGACCATAGCAGTCTTATATTTGAAACTCAGGAAGGAAACAACTGCGCTCCGAAACAGCTAAATACGCAGGTCCAAAAAATGAAGGTACTTTTTCAACTGCCACATTCACTCCAAAGCCCATCCGTCTCCTTCATTCAGCATCCCCAAGACGAAGCACACGTTCTGCTCAGCTATGTAATAAAGTGGCAAACACACCGCACCACTGCCATCACAGACAGCTGCCTATAAAACTAGACTTCTGACGCCGGCTCCAGCCGCTCTCACAGGTCGTCGTCCTCGTCCGGGAGAGCAGTCGTCTGAGCAACCTAGGGACAGACACACGCAGTGAGACTCGAGCCACCAGGCGTCCACCGAGACACGACAAGAGCCGCGCCGGGCGCACAGGCATCTCACCTCTAGATCGTGCTCGTACTGCGCTGCCAACGCCGGGTCCATGACCACCTCTGGCGGGGCAAGAGCAGGCATGGCGACAAACTCCAAGTTAGGGTCTCCGATTAGTTTTCTCGCAAGCCACAGGAAGGGCTTTTCAAAGTTGTAGTTACTTTTGGCAGAAATGTCATAGTACTGTTTAAGAAGGAAGCAAAGTTAGGGGCGCCTGGGTGGCTTAGTCGGTTAAGCATCAGACTTTGGCTCAGGTCATAATCTCACGGTTCGTGGGTTCGAGCCCCGCATCGGGCTCTGTGCTGACAGCTCGGAGCCTGGAGCCTGCTTCGGATTGTGTCTTCCCCTCTCTCTCTGCCCCTCCCCCACTAGTGCTCTCTCTCAAAAATAAATAAAAAAATAAGTAAAAAAAAAGCAAAAACTAGTTACAAAATATCTACTCCTCGGGGATCATCCTAGGGTATGCTCCGAACTAAATAAAATTCCTTTGATCCATACAACACGTGTTTACGCATCACTTTAACGCACCCTATTACTTTGAATTTTATCTTAGACTAAGCCATAATGCAGTAAAGGAGAAGTTTCAAGAAACATACCTGAAGGTTCTTCTTTCGGTGAAAGACAATAGATTTTGCCTTAACTTTTCTATCCTTAATGTCCACTTTGTTGCCACACAGCACAATGGGGATGTTTTCACACACTCGTACCAGATCTCGATGCCAGTTAGGCACATTCTTGTAAGTAACCCGTGATGTGACATCAAACATTATAATGGCACACTGGGCTGAAAGAAAGATTGACAGTGACTGTTACCCGCGTAGAACGTTCCACACAGATGACACTGCTAAGGACCACGGGCTTCACTTCAGGGCCAAACCAGGTCATCTACATTGCTCCATTCATTCTCAAGGCCTCTTCCAAGTCTAAAACTCTTACATCACTGTAACACACAAGATTTAAAATCCCACTTCCTACTCAAGTGTGAATGACCAGCTTGCCATATCCAATCTGTCCCTGTAATACTTCATTAATTCCACCTCGTCCCCAAATCTGAAGTAGATTAACAGTAAGTCAGCATTCCAGACAACTCATCTCCTTTATTCGAAAGGTCTAAGAACCCACTTTTAAAGGTCCTAAAATAACTAAGCATAGCAAAACAGGTTATTCCTTTGGTTAAAAACACTCAAGTCTCAGGGCACCTGGGTGAATCAGTCGGTTCACTCTGACTTTGCTCAGGTCATGATCTCATGGTTTGTGGGTTCGAGCCCCGCATCGGGCTCTGTGCTGACAGCTCAGAGCCCGGAGCTGCTTTGGATTCTATGTCTCCCTCTCTCTCTGCCCCTCCCCTGCTTGCACTCTGTCTCTCAAAAATAAACATTTAAAAAATTGAGGGGGGGGGGAACCCACCAAAACCCTCAAATCTCCATGTTGACCTAGAAGGAAATTCACAGTAAGACAACAGCCACAAGTATGTAGTCTAGTAGCTTTTTAGCTCAAGATGGGGGGGGGGGGGGGGGGGGGGGGGGCAAAAAAATCCACATATTTGTACATATTCAAAACAGGCTAAAGGTATGAAAGGATTCCCAACAAATTTTTCATCACAGGAGTGAGATTTCAGGAGGCAGTTTCTGTATCCATCTTTATTTGATACAACAATGTAACTGCGGTCAAACATTTTACAGAAAAAAAGAAAAACCTCGCAAAACTTAGTACAATTGAAAGAACAACCAGCTATTCCTGAAACTACGGCAACAGCTCGTCCGAAGCTGTTGTTTTATGAAACTCCGTAGAAAACAGCCTGTCCTGAACGGTGCCCGTCATGACGCAGCACAGGACTGGGGCAGAACTTTCGAGGTCCTCCCCTCCCTGAGTCAAAGCCCAGGGTGGTCGGCCTGAACAGACC